ATATATATATTTTTTTGAGAAAGCCCAATGGCTAATTTATTAAAAAGAAATAAAAATACATATAGATTGTGTGGAAGGTCCCAAGCATGACACCTTTCCCCCACGATAACCACCACATACAAATGGTTCCAAAAAAAGAGAGAATACAGAAAATTACAAGATACCTAAAGGAAAAAAATAAAAAAATGTCAAAAAACGTAGTATCAGGTAACCAGAGAGCGACCCAATTTTACTTTGCCTCTGTCTTTAGTTCTAGGAAAGGAGTCAGCTAATAAATTGGTAAGATATGTTTCATTGCCAATAGTGACCAAAGTATCATCCAATAAGTTCCTAAGCTCGAGTCGACCTCCAGTCTTCTTCTTCCTCCTGAAATAGACCTGTCATTCCTCATCCGAAGATTGGCTCGCCTGATCAGTGGATTGGTCTAAAGTGTGTCGGACATGTGTAGGATGTTGAATATTAGAAATAACTGCTTGTTGTATCAAATGATCTTTGATTAAATCAAAGGAGCACTCTCGTGTGTCTTGGTATGTAAGTGAGTCTTCTTCAATAACATTGAGTGGTATAAGCACTTTAGAATCTGTACCTGTGGCATGGTGTTCTTCATGAGGAACTGTGTTGTTGGGTAGTGGATCAGGTTGCACCTTCTCAGCAGGGATGGTGGGTGGTTGATCTTTAGCATTATCCAAATCCTGTCATGTGGTAGCTTTTTCTCCAGATGGAACAGATATGTCCAGAGTAGTGAGATTAGATCTATCCTTATTCACTTGATCTTTATCTTGAACCTTAGCTTTCAAATTAGGATGAAACTTATGACATTTATCAATGATATGTCCAAACATCTTACAGTGAGAACAATAAGGCGGTCTATGCTCCATGACGATTTCTTGCCAATATCCATTGTGAATTGTGCCCAACCAGACTTCAGTAACATCAGGTAAAGTCTCTTTCCCCAAGTATTCTGGCCACAGAAAATCTGGTTAGGTTGAAAGTCGGTAGATCTAGCTTCATAGGGTCTCCAAGTATGACCCCAATAGAGTAAAGAACCTCATGATGAAAAAAGTGCAGCTTGAGACCTGGTAGACTAAATCATACCAGTACAGTAGAAGGTTCTAATTGGGGTCAAAATCAGGAGACCACTTGAGTAGCTTCATTGATTTACCAACAATGCTATTACAATTTTTATTACAATTTTTTGGAGAAAATCTGAGTGTAGTCTTCAACCACGATTAATTGAATCAATACATGTGTTCCATCTATGTGCCACACTTTCCACTTTCCTGCTAATTTGAGATCACCAAAACTTTTTCTGATAACTTCCATAGGTGGGTATTTCTGCTGAAATTTTCCAGTAAGAACAAACTTGAATCTGTCGGTCAGTATTGAAATATCTAACTCCGAGAGAAAGAATGTTGTTTTCCCACTTTTACTGCTTGCATTCTTAATAAATGGACAGTCACCTGTACCATCACGATATTCCTTATAAGTTGAGAGAAGACAACCGCCGTCTCCACCTGGGGATTACCAACCGCATGGGCAAAGGAGGCTTTGTCAGGTTCAACCGAAGAAGAAGAAAGCTCCATCACAGCAATTAGAAGCTCTGCCAAGTCGGTGAGAGGGTAGGAATGACGAGCCGAAGACGGTATGGGCGAAGCAGCAGAATGCCGCACAGAAAGCCGCATAGAAGACAGGAACCGAAGAAGACAATGTGCGAACCTGTCAGCGTCGAAATCGAACAGAGACGACACGGTAGATGCGAACTCTGTCGGCTTCGAATGTCGCAGACGCTAGCCACAGTCAACATCGAAGCAGTGCGAGCCGACGACGATGGAGAGGACGGAGAGACGATGCCGGAGAAGAAATGTGAGGAAAGGAAATGATCTTATGCGATAAGAGTTGCTAGGGTACGACATGGGTCGAAACCTTTCGTATGCATGTATATATATATATATATATATTGTGCTAAATCGGAGTAATCTTATTCTTTACCCTGTTGCAAAAAGAATATTGACTAATCCAGAGTTTAGTCCCTAATAAACCCCCAAACCACACGATACAACACACAAAAAAGTCAAAAAGGGTACATATAAAAAAAAAAAAAAACCCAAAACCACCAGGGCGCGGAAAAAGTGAGGGTCATCCCAATTTAGTCCTGCCTTTGCCGCTATCTAGTTCTCGGAAGGGATCCAACTAACAAATTGGTAAGGTGCGTACCATTACCCGAAGTAACCAAAGTTTCATCCATAAGATTCCTGAGCTCAAGTAGATCTCCACTCTTCTTCCACCTCCTTGAAGTGTAAACTTGTGATTCCTCATCTAAAGAGTCAGTTTTATGAGTTGGTAGAGCTATAGCAGAAGAATTACCAGTCGTTGTACCCACAATATGTTCTAGTAATTGTGAAGTATGAGTTGTCTCTACATCAGATACTTTCCAAAGATGAGGAGCTGCGAGGTTCTCCTGCTTATCAGTCTGAACACTATCTTTTGTAGATAATAGTACTTCAGTGTTGTTTTCGATAGGTTTTGAAGGTGTAGGTTGCCCAGCAGAGCCATTCAACATCACATCAATTGCAGTAACAATAATAGTAGTGTTAGGGGGGTCCACAGGGGCAACACACACCACCTGTCTTGTGGTAGTATCCTCCTCAGGTGGAACAGATATGTCCAAAGCAGTGGAGTAGGCTCATTCTTATATGCTCAGTCTTATTCACTTGAACCTTAGATTTCAAATTAGGATGAAGCTTGTGGCATTTATCAAGGGTATCTCCAAACATCTTACAATGGGTACAATAACGAGGTCTGTGTTTCATGACGATTTGTTGCCAATATCTATTATGAGTTGTGCCCAGCCAGACTTCAGTAACATCAAGTAAAATAATATCCATTTTCGCAAGTATTTTGACCACAAAAGGTCTGGTTAGATTGAAAGTGGGTAGATTTAGCTTCATAGGGTCTCCAAGAATGACCCCAATAGCTTTTAATGTATATATATATATATATA